AAAATTTCTTTCCAGGGGAAGAAAGGCAATAAAATACTGTTGGACATTGTGTTGTCTCTGCTTGTCACATGACACGTAACTAGGACGATAGAATCAAAGCCCATCTATATTGTATATTATATTATGCACTCACACGTACGCGTGCGCGCGCGCACACACACACACACACACACACACTCTTTCTTCTCTTTCTCTCTCACACACACACATACGTAATATACACACATACACAGATATAACACACACACACACACACACACACACACACACACACACACACACACACACATACACACTAACACACATACACACTAACACACATACACATTATGTGAGGCAGCGTGGTGGAATCAGGCTCTCGTCAAATTTTGGGCATGTAGAGTTATTGATATCATCTTAAAGCTTGTTCACTTGTCTTTATTTGGATGAAAACAATATTCATTTATCTTGAATACAAGTCGAGATATTTGCGAAAGAAGGAGGTGGGGGTCATCTGTTTTCAGAGGTAAAAATAGTGAGAAAATGGCCGCCAAAGATTAGTTATTTCCTTAGCTTAAGAGTCCGTGGTAATAGAAAAATAACTTTTTTTGTGTGCCTTTAATCAACGTTTAACAAAAAAAATCTACACAGAAATTAATTCTTTAATAGGCATGAAAGGTGTTGAGCCCAAAAACAAAAATTAAATAAAAATTCACAAACCTGCGGAAAAATGCAAGTTTCTTCACTTTGATTATTTTGACGAGGGCCTGATTCCACCACGCTGCCTCACATATACACTAACACATATACATTAACACACAAACATATATATATATATATATTTTACATATATATATACAAACACACATACATATACACACACATACTTAAGCACACACACACACACATACTCACACATACATACACAGACACACATATACACACAAACACGCATACCTACATAAACACGTAGAACTACACACACATGCACTCACACACATGCAATGTAGTAACAGACACACACACACACACACACACACACACACACACACACACACACACACACACATACACACACACAAACACACATGTGCACGCAAACACACATGTGCACGCAAACACACATAAACATATAAATTACTGTGTTACCCAAACACAGGTGTACAATTATTATTTTCAATGCTGGAAAGTTCTTAATTATACTGTAGGTATCTTTAAATATAAAAACAATAGTGAGACTTGAAGCTTCCAGGTTCCAATCCCACAAATAGGTAATTGGTGAAGAAGTTTTTTCTTCTTGTTTCGTTTGTTTGTTGGCCTTAAAGAACACATTAACTCACGGACGAAGAGCATTTTTATCATTTAAAAAATTGGCACCTACAGTAAGCTATTAGTGCCACACCTGGACATTTAGTAAAACCCGCGAACGCAAAATCACTGTATGCGACATGAATTAATGTCTCCGCAAAACCCTTAACCTCACAAGACGAGACGGGCAGAGAAATGAAGAAGTGAGAGCAGCAATTGGCACTGAGTTCTGCCTGCCTTTCACAGAAAAACAGAGAATAAAACGGTTTGGCCAACCAGCCCCGGGAGCCCATAACACAAAGCACTCAGGCTATAGAGGGAGAGGAAGGCTATGCAAAAGGTAGAATGGGGGAGTTAAGGAAACACTGAGAAATTATAAAATCCCAATTAATTTAAAGAGCTGTGGAGCTGGCCTACCATAGAAAACTGCAAACCCCCACAACGCATAACGGCAACAGAGGCTGAAAAAGTAAAGTAAAAAATTGGGAACGCTTGAAGACGCCATATTCTGGATCGCTTTAAAACAGAAGCTGCAAAAAACTTCGTTATTCATACATATTTTTTACTTTCGTTTTCTTTCAAACACACAAAATAGAATGGTGAAATGGTATGGGTTTAACGCCTCTATTAACACTATTTCGATATTTCAGAGGCAGGACCTCCAAGTTTAACGTCCATCTCCGAAAGGACCGAGCCAAATGAGAATTTCGTGTAAAGTGTCTTTCCCAAGGACACAACGTCAGACCGAGCAGAGGCTCGAATCCCCGAACCTGCAATCTCACGATTACGAGTCCGGTAACCTTACCACTAGGCTACCCACTGAGACATACACAAGTCGTGGAGGCAACATCATGCATACTATGAAAGTAGCAAATGTTTGTTACTACTTTGTGTGTGATTATTTGAAAAGTGTCAGTACGTGGCCCTCAGTCGGTTGTTCATTTGAACAGTCACAAAGAGGTTAAATAATATTATAATTCTACAGCTCGCAGCAGTGGCGTCATACGTGTCAGACATGGGGGCCTTCCTACCTTCATCAGCATGGCGTGCCCCCATTTACAATCTGAGTCCCCACACCGCTCCCCACGAGCTCAAATATATTAACACCACCCTGCCTCCATATTTCAGTCAAGCTTGTAGATTTCGTCATAAGACTGCCGAGACGCCTCAACGTGAGTCTCGAAAAGAACTCACCCATCTGATGAACTGCGCATGTCTTGCCCTTGAGGTTTAGCGTCCCAGAGTGGGCACACGCAGTTCTCATTCTTTTACGTAGGGGACATCACTGCCTCGAACTTTAGTACTAAATATAACCTCTTTGGGTCAGTCACAACTTCGTCCTGAAAGTGTTAATAATGGGGAGCTGGCTAACCTAAAGTTAGATTGAGACTTTGGTCCCCTACATCTGTGCCACAAAGCTTGAAAGTGATAACACATACCGTCATAAAGGGATGTGATTATCTCCTAACACAGCCCCCTTGTGCTTGTATATTGTCCTCTGTCCCCGTGTCTTCCTTAAGTTGAGTGTCAAGAGCTGAGTGATAGCAGAAGTTCAAGCGTACGCGCGGGGTTGCTTTGTATGCCCCTTTGAAATCTTATCTTGTGGGTACTGTGACTGACTGTATAGATCTAAAGGTTGGGAGTTTGAGAGACGGAGAGAGAGAGAGAGAGTGTGTGTGTGTGTGTGTGTGTGTGTGTGTGTGTGTGTGTGTGTGTACATGGACGTACATGACGCATTCTAGATGGTTTAGATGGTTGGCTTCGACTCAACCCGGGCTGAGAGGGGATAACATCCCAGCAGATAGACCGAGATCCTAGATAAAAAAATTTCCCACACAGGTATCGAACTCAGGTCTTCTGTGAGCTGCAGCGAACCGCCTAACCTCTACATCACAGATGCTGGTGCATCTCTTTCAGCTCGAGATGGCCCTGAAAGACAGAACAAGGCAGCTCGTCTCCTAAAAGATTAAACAGCGTTGATGGGGGGGAAAATTTCCACAAATTAATATCGAGTGAGGAGGAATCAAAGCAAAAGTTTTCCTAAGAGGTTGGGTTTTTTTTACGGCACCTGCAACACAGCTATGTACCGAAGAATACAGGTGTTACTAGAGTAGAGAAAGAAAAGAATGAGAGTAAAAAACAAAAGAAAGTGTTTGACAAGAAAGAAGGGGCAAACTACTACAGGCAAACCACCCACGAACAATTTAAGCACAAAAAAACAACCAATGAGAAGAAGACAGAGACGAAGCATTTGGCATAACGAACCTTTTTATTGTGTAGCCAAAGAACGAAAACATCAGCTGTTGAGGTAAACACTGCGTCGTCATCCAGTCCCAAACTTGTAGGCAACCCATCAAATTAGGTAACACACTTATTATAATTTATTGTCTCATGTTACTCGATCACAACCGTAATTATTATTGGTGGTGATACTGTATTTATTAGTTTTAGTAAGAGTGTTACGGCATTTGCAACACAATAAGTTCATAATAAGTTCTGAAGGTTAGATGTGTTACAAGAGTATCAAACACAAAAAAGTAGGAGAAGAGATCAGGACAAGACATTTTTTATAAGAAAGAATAAAGAAGCAAACCACATCAGTGTACCCGCCAACCACCCGCGTGATACCATATGATGTAAAAATAACTCTCTACAGAAACATTCTCAACAGAGAATAAATCTGAAAAAAATATGGTGTTTTGTTTGGGTAAAGAGAAGCACATCGACTCATAATGGTTATTTAGAGCTGGGGGGAAAGTAAGACAGACAGAAACAGAGGGAAAGAAAAATTGTAGGACCTATCACTGACGCCCTCCACCAACCCACGAATTAAGGTGTGTGTATTTGGGTGGGGTTGGGGGGGGGAGGCGGGGAGTGAGGATGGTGTATGGGGTAAAGAGAACAATCAATATTCACGATCACTTACACATGGTTCGATTCAGACATCGACCAGTGGGTTATTGAGAACTGGAATATATACACTGCCCCGCACAGATCTTTCCTTGATACCATAACAATGATAACAACATGTCATTATGAAATGGGACTAGATTTTAACAAAAGCTGGAAAAAAACAACAACCCAATAGCAACCAAAAATAAACAAAAATACAATTAACTTCGCAGCATTTCTTCTTGAAAAGCTTATTCCTTCGTATGTATGCGAATGTTTGTGTAATAGTGCGTGTGTGAGTGTGTGTGCCTGTGTGTATGTGTGTGTGTAAGTGTGTGTGTGTGTGTGCGTAAGTGTGTGTGTGTGTGTGTGTGTGTGTGTGTGTGTGTGTGTGTGTGTGTGTGTGTGTGCGTGTGTGTGTTTATGTGTGTATTTGTGTGCGTTTAAGCGTTGGCGATAAAGTAAGACAGACAGACAGAAACACCAGGGGGCAAGTATGGAAGTAGAACCTACCAGTGGTGCCCTCAAACCACCCATAGCTAAAGACAGCACAGGATAACACTCCAACAATAACAAATAGACTAAAATGTAACAAAGATCAAACAAAATGTCTGGTGGTTTAAAGTTGAAGCCAAACAATAACATATTGGCCACTCTAAAACACAGTCGTCATTCAAGAAGTAAAAAGAAAATTAAGGCACTGTTGTCACACCAGTAAACTAGTAAGACGACATCCCTTACACCCCCCCCCTCCCCTGATTACAAACGTATTGACGATGGATTATTTTAGGTGTTGATAATGAAGAGAAAACGAAAAATAATGAAATTGTGCAGAACTTGTGTATTTATCAAGTTTCTGGCAACAACAAAAACGAAAAGATCTTTGTGACAGCAAGTAGAACAATGAAGGATACAGGCACAAAAATCTGAAGATCTTATTTAGCATAATGTAAGCTCGAAGTTGGTAAATATTGGAAATTAAAAAAAGAAAAAAAAAGAACACAAAAACAACATCTCTCATTACATCTATCACAATGCAAAATTAAAGATGGATAAAGCAACGAATTTAAAAAAATAGATTTTTAACTAAACGGGTTATGTAAGTTAAAGCGGTGCCTCAAGAAATTTAATGTATTGAGAAAAGACGCACTTGAAGTCAAAGTTTGGTTTTAGTAAGAGTTTTACAGCATTTGCAACACAATAAGGCCATATAAGTGTGGAAATTTAAAGGTGTTTCAAGAGAATAACAAACACAAAAAACAGGAGAAATCAGGATGGTATATGTAGGGTAGGAAAAAAGGACATACTATACCAGAGTACCCACAAACCACCTGCATGAAGTAAGAAGAAGGCACTGCATGGTACAGACAGAAATTGAACACTGCATGATCAGCTGATGTAATATTGCGGACAGTAGATTAAAATCTAAAACATGTGAATAAAAAAACAATTGTTAATACATTTAATTAAAATAAATAGTCATAACTGTCATGCAGGCCAATGCATTAAACATCTTTGTCATGTACGAACATGGTAGAGAAGTTGAACACTGCATCATTAGCTGATGTAATATTGAGGAGTGTTGATTAAAATCTAAAATATAAAAAAATTATGGAGAAAAAAAATGAAAAGCAATTCATTCATATTAATAGTCATAACTGTTGTGAAGGGCTACAACATATTTTTATGATCTTGGTCATGCAAGGTACAGAAATAGAACACGGCATCATCAGCTGCTGCTGTAATATTGCGGTGAGTTGATTAAAATCTAAAACATGTAAATGAAAAATATAACAAAAACATTTCTTTAAAATAAATAGGTAGTCATAACCGTCATGAAGGGCAAGCAATGTATGTATTTAAGATCTTTGTCATGTAAAGACTAGCAATGACTAATCACATAAAAGCAACAAGTAACACAACTATTTTATTTTATCACGCTCTCGGTTTCGCTGAAGGTGTGACATTGGTGGTCCTGAAGAGCCTTCGGACAGTAAAAACCTGAAAGAATAAAAAACACAACAAATTATGATAAGAGTAATCTTTTTTTGTTTTATAATGTAGAAACCGTTTCACGGCACATGCTACACAATTAGGACACGTAATTAGACCAAAGATTAGAGGTATTACAAGAGAATGGCAAACACGAAAAAGGAAGAGAGATAAGAACGACAGACGCTTGATAGACAAGAAAAAACGAACCACA